CAGAGGGCAAGATGGTTTACAGCCCTGCTCAGTGGTCCAAGGGAATTCACTGGAGGCTTACTCCACGTGGGGATTCTGTGAATGGATTTGGGGCATTCATTGTTATCCACTGCCTTCTGCAAGCACTACACCTACACCTGGTTTGCAGAAAGCAGTGGATAACCTCATAGAATTATGTATTTTAATGAGGTCCGGGGTTTCCCAATGGTTTATGAAACCACGTTTAGAATTACTCTGCAATATTTTAATAAATAAATCTGCAGAATTAAAGCTATAAAGAGGCCTAATTAAGAGTAAGTCAGAAGTTAAGAAATGATGGGAAGTTAAGGAACAAGGGATTTATATAAGCATTGTTTTCTATTTTACTAATGAGTCTTCTATTTTTTTTTGGAATCACATGCAAAATGGTTTTAATGAAAATACTTACAAATGAACCATCAGAAATTCAAGCTGAATTCAGAGGATGTTGCAGTGAGTGGCAAAGGAGGGTCATCTATGACCTCCTCTGGCTTCCCTAGTGCCACAGGCAGGTTACAGATAAACCTCCATGATCCATGCTGCTTCTTCTTTTTTTAAATGGTAAGAATAAAATAATAATATAAAGATAAAAATATGAATACTGAGTAAGAAAGGAAAGGTCACCATCAATATTTAAAAATCCAGGGAAGAAATTTTTGTAAGGGAACAAGAAATGCTCGTGCTGATAACAAATTCAGGTTGGGTCAAGTGGGCAGTCAATTGACCAATGATCAATTTCAATCCAGCATAAGCAAGTTTACAGTGATCTCTGCCTGATAGTGAAGCTGGTTGAGACACTTTCCTGTGGCTACAGGGGATCTGCCAGTAGCTTAATCTGAATAGATACTCTGCATATGGGTTTTGGGCTCCCACTGTCCCTCATAGCCTTTTACAAACTGGGTGTTCACAATTTAAGCTCAGATACTTTTCACTTCATCAGATTTGGATTTTTTTATTGCCATCTTTGGATCACACAAGCCGGCGTGCTTTTGTGTGGCCTTCCTTGACTCCTCACTTTGTTTGAATACAAGCTTTGAAAACCCCAGACACTATTCCGATTGATAGCCGGGCACCATCTGCGTTTTTCACCACACTTTTCTGTAAGCACCCTGGTCTTCCATGATCATTTCATGAAAGTGGGTATCGAGCAGGGCCATGCTATCAGAACTACCTGTTCTTGGCTAGAGTTAAGTGGGAGCTAATACATCTGTCTGATACTGCAAGCATGGCGCTCCTAAGCAAGTCTTTTCACACTAGAGCCACGAGTGAAATGAGGGCACCGAGGTTTAAGGTAACTTGATTGCTGTCAGAATTTGCTTACAAAGGATATTTACAGAAGGGGGAAAAAGGAGATTTAAAAAATTTACTACACGAAGTAGGCAAATCAGTTGAAATGGAAACATCTAAAAGAGGGTATGGATTGTACTGTGAAAAGATAGATATATAAAGTCTGAGATACATTGCTGTACTAATGCACAACATGGATGATTCTAAAGCTTTAATCACTATCTTCAGTATTTAAATAAAATACATTATCTCTTTAAAGAAAGGTTTTTATGAATTATGATGCGGTCAAAGAAGATATATCAAGAAGAGGAAAACAGATTCAATGTCATTAGGTAATCTGATCCCCCACTGTCTCTTCTTAGGAAGCTGTAAGGGAAAGGTAGCTATTCTTCATCAACTAAGTCAAGTTCATTGTCTACTTCTCTTCTTCCCACAGACTTTCCCTAGAAATCAAGGCTCCCATGCCCCATATTTCCATACACCTGACTGAAATAGTGCAGTGTAAAATATAAAGCTTCCCATTTCACCACAATGCTTTCTGGTCATTATAAACAAATATTTTACTCAGAATGCGCAGGGTGGAAAAGAGCTCGAGAGCTTTCTGTACTCCTCAAATTTTTTTTGCAAGCACGTTATTGCTGTTTTTGCAAAACTGTCCAATTGTTTTCTGTCTCGTTATACTGAATTGTTGGGTCTCCTCCATTTCCATGCATGGAATAGAGGACAATCTTCCAATTAGGTCAGCCAAACTTCCTTTTTCTACAAATTCACCGAACTGGCCTATGGAGAAACCAATGTCTGAGCGTGACTGTCTGGCAAATATGTGTGATATGAATGAGTCACCACAGCTTGATCTTGGGTTCCACCGCTATCATCACTGAAGGTTGTTTTCCAGTTCTGGCAAGCAGATAATTCACATATATTCAGAAAGAGAATTGTTTGTGAAATCACTCAGCTCTGAGGGAGACAAGTGACAGCTAATTTCTATCTCATTTTGCCTTTGATTATGAATTCGTCAACTGAAAATTGCATTAGGTCTATTCTTTGTGAGCGAGAAGAAAGACCATAGTAACGTTAAACAGAAAGACAATGCTCCAAGTTACTTAGAAGGTGATAGATGCTGAAACCAACCCCCCTGAAATCTCTAATTAAAGAAGGGATCTTTCTATTCATTATAAATTTGATTATATTAGGCATTACATAATCTTAACCATTCTCTTGTGGGTTTGAATCTACAAAGTATTGTAGTCTCAGTGGAGAAACATCACCTCTTAACAACTTTAAAGTTTATATGAATAACAAAGAAGCAACTGTAAATAGAATCATACCATTTGCCTTTCCTCATTTTCAAACTCAAGTATATAGCATTTTAAAAGAAAATTATGTGTAGGTTTTAGATTTCTTTTGTTGCATATATGCTCTCATTACTTATAAAAATAAAAGTAACAGATATAAAGAAGCAATCTATCACATCTTAAACTTAACATTTTGGGGGGGAATCAAAATAGTTGTACTCTATGGAGCAAAATTCATGAATCTCCAAAATCAAAGAGAGATAGAGTATAAACTTTACATTTCTCTTCCAAAGACCTAGAGGTTCATGATTTATTCTATGGAGAAGATGTTGAATATTTGGGTCTTAAATTCAAAATCACAGTGAACATATGTCCTCATTTTCCCCAAACAGTTTTGGTTTATGGCTGTTTCCAGCCATAAATAAAAACAGTGATTCCTTTCACTTTTAAAAATGTCCCAGTAGGAACAGTAAATTATATGGTCAGCTTTACAAAATAGATAAATGCATAATTTAAGATAAACTATTGTGATACAGAGAGCGTGCTCTCCATTTCAAATCATTTTACAACCCTGGCATCTTTTCTTTTTCCTCTATTGTTACACACAAACACACAACTTAGCAGATCTGTAATTTCCATTGGTTAACTCCCAAAGAAACAGTCTACTATCATGTTTACTGAAATATATAAGGATTTCATAAAACAAGAGGAGGATTCTTTAGCATATAGCTTACTGCTGTCTTCTGAGTCCAAAGGTCACATGCAACTGAGTATAAAATTAATTCAGCTGAGGACTAAAATCTGCCATGTTGAAATAACATAGAGTACAAAACCACAAAGCACCCAAGAGCACCTTTTCATTCATCAACACACACTGACCAATGAATCCCTTGGGCCACATTTATAATAAGCCTATCTTAAACTATGGAATATACAGGAATCACCCAGGAGCTCGGATTTTTAGTATGGGAAAACATTCCAATATAGGGTAGTCTAAAATATAGAGTACGATATGCACATACAAAAATGACTGGTATCTGTTAGCTCACAATGAAGAATCCTGGGTCATTCTTTATGTTTGGACAATGAGCTGTTTGGGATTGCAGAATGCACTTTCATCTTCAACATATCATTTGACTTCCATTGAAAAGAAATCGTGGAAGCTTAACTGAAGAATGAATGAATGTATTTGGACTTGAGTTCTTAATTAGAGACGGAAGATAAATGAGCATTCCATCATTGAGGGGAAAGGACATATTTTTATCTCCTGGTTTTGTAATAATGGAAACCAGCTTAATGAAGAATATCTATATAAACAACCTTCTCATTTCTTTTGCTGTGATGGATGCACATTCATCAAAGCATCCACAAAAACTACCTAGAATCGTGTCAAATGGTAAGGCCATATTATATTTAACAAGAGCCATGAAATGTGATTTCATAAATGAAAATTCATTACAGTTCAGAACCTCCTTCAAAGAGAATAAATCTAGTAATACCAACAGATGTCATGATCAGAGTTTTACTCTTGTAATTGAGTCTAGCTCTTAAAGAGACATCCAAAAATCTAAACACATGCCTATAGTAATGCCAGTAGACAGGCTGAGACAATACATTTATATTACTAATCCTTTTAAATCAGCTAAAACTAAGATTTAAATATGGCTTAGTGAAAACAAACACTTTAAAAATCTTTGGTAAATAGATAGCAGCTTAGAAACAAAAAAGTGTACAGATGATATAGGGTGTTAAAGAATGATCTATGACCTTCACATGTAATAGGAAATAGCTGTGGGAACCAGTTAATCCATGCTTAGTCTTCAAGAAATAATGAAATGTATTGCATGAGCTCTGTGCGTGCACGACAGGAATAAAGTCAGTGCATGTTAGCGGCACAATAAAGTTGATAAGGAGTGTCGTCCTTCAGGAAGGATTTTCTGATTTAATTGCTATTGTCAAAGTCGATGCGGGCTTAAAACAAAGAACTCTAATGTGTACCCACGATCCAGGCCAAAGTAGAACAGTCTTTCCCAGAAGACTTGGTACAATGCTCTATTAAAACTCCCCAACGCCGATCCAGCCCCCCTCTCTCCGATAGCTCAGTGTCTCAAAGCTCCTGCAGCCTTCCTGGGGGTTCAATCCTTCCCTCCTGTTTGGAACAAATGATGGAAGTATTCCCCAGGATAAAATTAATTTTCACATTAATAATTTTCTTATCTATTGTTTCAGCATTAGAAAGGTGAAAGTGATGTAATTACCATGCCATTAGGCTGATAAGTTGGATTTCAACTGCTCGAGGGTGAGCAAAAATTATTTCCATGCTATTTCAGTCATCTTATAAATTCACAATGCGTTTTCTAATTTATGCTTAACTTCGTCCCACAAAGCTAATGTCTTTACCTTCATTTTTCTTAATGGTGAAATTCGGATTGTTGACCATTTCTGGAAGAAGGCTGTATAAGAAATAATGTCCATTTTTAGGATCATCTTTGTCCATGGCACTCACTGTTTGGATGACCTGAAACATAAAACTTGACATTAGCATTTCTGAGGGCATCAACACTTTATGCTGGCTTTAAAAGCTGAGTGCATTCCCCCACCCCACCCCACCCAGTCTGATAATTTGGCTTTTGGGGACTTTTCAGCTTTCTAAATTATCCTGGATGGTTTGTGCCAAGGACAAGGAGACACATTCGTCATTTGGAAAACCTCTGTCCTGATCAAAGGATGGAAATTAAGATCATTACCTTTTCTGTTCATGTGGTATCTGTGGCTTGAAAGAGCAAAATTCAGTGTATTCAAAAAAGTCCACTGAGAAATGGCCAGTTTGGTTCCCCAAGTGGCGCACAGAAAAGCGTTTAGAGTAAGATTTAGAAGTGACACAGTGATTGCGGTGTGGCTCCTGGGAAAATGCTGGAAATAAGGGATTTCGATCTTGAATCCTCCGACCTCCTCTTTTACTTTACACATAGGTTACATGTGTTTGCCAAATAGTGTATTCTTGGGCACAAATAGCATTGCATCAAACCTCTCTGGTCAGGTGTGTCTGCTCCCTCCCATAATGAATACTGTTTTAAAGCTAGTGGATAACACATGCAAACAATGCTTTGGAGCGTATCCTGACATGAATAAATTACAGGGATTAGAAGTGTTACCACTGTGCAGAGAGCTGTTTGGAGACGTACAGAGACTTGGAATCGGTGCCGGTTGAATGTGCTTGTTGCATTTGCAAATCTGCACTGACTTAGTTGCTAAGTTCCTTCTTGGAATGTTATTGAATTAGCTTAATAATTCCTATTTTGAGTTGGTGACGTTAATTGCTTCCATATGAAACATCGGGCATCTACTGTGGCAAATTATATTTCTACTGTAAATAACTACATCATAATTCCTACCAAGAAAAAGTGTCTATGAGACATGACATTCGAAAGTACTAACTTTCCCTTAAAAAACATGAACTGGGGAACAATCACAGGCTTATGAAATTTAGATGGTGTTAAGGTGGTATCCAGACTACCACGTCCATTCAACTTTGTCAACTTTATTAAAGAGTGAAATAATGGATCACTTCCTCTCAAGAAAGGAAAATTACGAATTTGTAGTTCATTACCTGCACGAGTGTAATAATCACAATTTCAGAAAACTTTTAGACATCTGGGGTCTTGCTATGTGTTCGGCACATATTACGTGGCATGCGGTCCAGAAGGCTGTTTTGAAGTGTGCATGAAGTAGCATCTCTCAAATTCCTTCTTTCCATCTTTTCAATGAAATATATTCTGTGAAGGATCTTCAGTGCCTTATATCTAGTTTCAATTATACTTTGCTGGAGTGACAATATTATGTACAAGAATATAAAATGGGTCTCATGGGTAGACTAGTAGTGGTTAAACGATTGGATTCTGGAATCAAGATACCTACAGGGAAGTTAGGCTCCTGGTCAAACTGACCAGGTCAGCAGCCCTGGATTGGGTAGCTCTGGGTGGGAACCAACTCAATGACAGTGAATTTAGTTTGAATTTCAGATGTTCGAGGTTCACTCTGTACTCACTGAGTATGAAGGAAGGAGTAAATTATTCCTGAAGCACTCTGTTCCCATTTTACCTATTATTCAAATAAAAAAGTGCACCTTGTATTATGAGGATGTTTGGGTGACTGTTGAGATAATTCGTGTCAATCTCAATGCAATTCCGGTTCTCGGTCATTGCTCCATACGTGTTAGCAGAACCGTTATCATGGAGTACGTTCTAGCTCTCGTGGTTAGGTGCTGTTGAGTTGGTTTCGACTCAGCCATCCTATGTACAAAAGAACCAAGTTCCCCCCGGTTGTGCCCTATCCTCCCAATGGCTCCTATGCTTTGGGACTATACTTGTAGCCACTGGGCCAATCCATCTTGTTGAGGGTCTTTCTCTTTCTCCCTGCACCTCTAACTTTTCCAGATGTGACGTCCTTCTCCAGAGACTGGTCTCTCCTTGCGCATGTCCAAGTAGATGAGATGAAATCTTGCCATCCTTGCTTCTAAGGAGCCTTCAGGATGTGCATCTCAGTGACCGCATAGGGCATGCTAGCACTGCCCCAGAGGGCAGTGAATCATGATGGCAGTGGACCGCCATATCTTTCCCCCGCACAGAAGTAGATAGTGGTTTTCAACTGCCAACCTTCAGTTTAGCGGTCAAGTGTTCAACTACTGTGGCATCAGGGATCATACAATACGTGTTGTTGTAAATATTATTATGTTGATTGTTTTCATAAGAGGGGCCTGAATGCCCAGTGTTTAAGCACTCGGCTTTCACTAAAAGGAGGGTGGTTTTAACCCACCAGCCCCTCCACAATCAGCTTCAGTGAAGGTTGACAGCCTTAGAAACCCTATAGGCAGCTTGACCCTGTTCTATACGTTTGTTCTGCACTTGGAATCGATGAAAAGAATGGATGGGGTCATCTATTCATGACGACAGATTTTACCCTCATAGAGGGCCAGCCTTCTCAAATGAGAAAGTGATTTAACCAAATACCGTGGCACTGTTGGGAAGCATTGGACTGCTAACTGCCAAGTTAGCAGTTCAAACTTCCATGCCGCTCTGCAGGGGAAAGATGAGATTGACAAACCTCAGAAACCTCCTATAGGGATTCTTAAGAGTCAGAATTGACTTGATGGCAATGGATTTGGCTCTTTCGGTTTTCCTATCTAGTTGCCTAGCATATTTGCTCTAATCTTTAGGTGTGGAAGAGGTTTAGGGGTTTAGTTTTGTAGAAAGAAGCATAAATAGACATGTAAAGAGAGAGACTTGAAATGCAGTTCACTGTTTTGTGGACAGCCTTCATGTTGTAAATATTAACAGGACGGTGTTGACCACTTCACTTAGAATCCTCCTGGCTGTTCCTTTTAGAAAGTGAAAGAATAATTTTCTTTGACAGGCACTTTCCTGAATCTGGCCACGTGGACTGCAGAGTGGAGTGACTGGTGGGCCAGTGTAACCACCTTTCTCCCTTTACCCAACCTGGTCAGTCACAGCAGGACTGCTCGTCACTGATGCAAGTATTGCAGTAACTCCTGAAGTGTGTGAATACTTTTGACGAAGGGCAAATGATGGGAGAATTTTTTGGTATCCTGGGTAGAAATTAGTTTTTATATTAAATGCATTTCTGTAATATATTCAGAGGGTACAGCTGTTAGATCTCACACCGCTGATAGTATTGCGAAGTTAATTCATATGAAAACAGGCTTGCCGTGGAGGCTGGCTAGTAGAGACACCCATAAGAGTCATGGGATTAGTGAAGCCAGTACCGCCAACACCAAGCTTCACTCATTGAGCTCACGTGAAAGAAAAGAGCATACATACCTGCCTGAACACATATGAGCATGTGTGTTTATAAATCACACTTGCAACGGATCTACGTGTCCCCAACTCATTAGTGAAGTTGGTTAAGCATGAGAACCCTTGAGTCCTTCCTGAGAACTTCTGAATGGGAATGCCTGGGGGCGGGTCTACATTAACACTGTCTACAGCCCTCTGGGTGATTCAAATGCACACAAAAGCTTAAGGACCACTGTTTTAAACCAAGGGAAAATATGGTTGTTCACAGCCCACGTATTATTCATTAGGACCATTTGTATTGTCAAGTTCATCCTGTGATGTCTTGGTGAGACAAACCACTGAAACAGTGAATCTCTAAATCGGAGATGGGGAAACATTTTTCTGCCAAGGGCCTTTTATACATTTGTAACATTATTCTTGAGCCATGCTGGTGAAATATTTAATTAACTCACCCCGAATGTGATGGTTGGAACGGCTTCACTTTGGTGAAGGGTGTGATGTTAGCTGGTATTAATGATTCTGTGAACCTTCTAGACATGGCTCTCAGAATGGATTTCTCCCATCCCTAAAAGTCTAAATCATCATCCAAATATCCGCTAAACTGGCTAGGCTTAAGATTTTGTTTTCAGCCTGCCTGACAGTTGTGTTTGCGGTTGTTTGTTTGTTTGTCTATTTTTTTGTTTGCTTGGGGTTTTTGTTTGTTTGTTTGTATGTTACTTTAATGCAAATGAACATTTCCTGGCTATTTTATCTAAGATGTCTTAATCTTTACCTAAGTCCTGGTAAAAATTCAAAACAAATTAACTAAATACAATATGTCCAGTGGACCATGTGAGGGACTCAATGCCTTTGAAATGCTGCACACTCTCCATGCTAAAGAGGCTGGGACTTTCACTGATGCAACAACAGCAGAGGGTATGTAACTTTAAACAGGAGAAGCAGCCGAACAGCCCAGGAAGATTCATCCAAGGAAGTCCATCTCCACGGAGATGATCCTCCAGGCACATGGGTGACAGCGCACATGGAAGCGGAACACATTTCCCACCAGTAGTTATGACAACCTGAGTTGATGTTTAAATAAACAAGTAGAGCCAACTGTTTTATGAAGAGGATATTAAAAACTTTAGGAGAGGTTACACATCTTTAGGTGCATGTAGTTTTTATATTTCTTTATACTGATAAAATTCAGATGCAATGAAAAAGCCAATGTTTAATTAATTGTGGGTTCATTCCAAGGAAACCTGACAGTAAAATATAGCTGCCCATCAGACAAGAAAAGCATGCTTCTGGAGTTAGCAGTGCTACACTTACCCAGGTGTTAGTGGTGAAACAGGGAGGGTAGAGGGAGAGTGGGTAGGAAAGAGGGAACCGATTACAAAGAACTATATGTGACCCCCTCCTTGGGGGATGGACAACAGAAAAGTGGGTGAAGGGAGACGTTGGACAGGGCAAGATATGACAAAATAACAATTTATAAACTATCAAGGGCTCATGAGGGAGGGGAGAGCGGGGAGGGAGGGGGAAAATGAGGGCCTAATGTCGGGGGGTTTAAGTGGAGAGAAAATGTTTTGAGAATGATGTACAAATGCCCTTTACACAATTGATGTGTGTATGGATTGCGATAACAGTTGTATGAGCCCTTAATAAAATGTTAAAAAAAGAAAAGAAAAGCATGCTTAGGGTACAGGGTATGAACGTCTCCAGA